TTCTGCTACAGCAGCTCTAACACTTCTGCTGCTAAAAGGAGGTGGAGTGTGGGATTCACAAATTGTTTATAGAAGTTATTGATCCTGGGAATCGGAATGTTTTTCCAACTTCACTAAACCCAAACAACCATCTACTGAATTTTCTCTAACTGAATAATGCTCTTTAGGAAATCTGAGCTAATTGTTTTTCCAGACCTCTCTCTTTCTGCACCTGTCACTGTGGGTGGGGTGATATCAGATCATGAAGGATTGTAATGTTTAGATGATCTACCAAAGAAGGGACATGGTAAAATCCTGTAGGACTCATTCTGTTTTATGGCAGACACTACGTAAGCTCTGCTCAGACATGTCTTTTGGTCTAAATGCTCCATTAGATATTTTGGAAATACACTGACTGGCCAACTAATTAGGTACACCCATAGCAATGCTAATCTGCTAATCAATAGATAGAAACTCAACAGATCTTGGTACGATGTAGACGACCCACTGAAGTTCACATCTTGCATCAGAATGGATAGGAAAGGAGATCTGAGTGACTTTGAACATGTCTTGGTTGTTTAAGCTCGGCAGGCTAGTCTGAGTGTTTCAGAAACTCCTGATCTACAACCTTCTCTGTGGCTAACAGAGAACGTTTGAAACACTGGAAATGTCTAGAGAGCAGCAGATATGTGGATGAAAATGCCTTGTGTATGTCAAGAGAATGTGTAGACTGGTTCTAAATTATATAGATTAACAAGCTCAGATTACCACTGGTCCCTTCTGAGATCTGCAGAACAGCAGTTCTGAACCACAACATGATGAACCTTGAAGCAGAAGACCACACCAGGTGTCTCTCCTGTAAGACCAGGGAACTGAGCCTACAGATCAAACAGGATCACCAGAACTGAACCAGAAGAGACTGGAAAATGTTTCCTGGTCTGAGTTTGGATTTTCAATCTTGATTTCAGTAAACATGTAAGCATGGATCCATCCTGCCTTGTATCAATGCTTCAGACTGCTGGTGGTGTAATGGTGTACGGGAGAAGTTCCCATCCCACTTTGGACCCCTCAGTACCACCTGAGCCTGGTCTAAACACCACAGCCTACCATAGCGTTGCTGCTGACCATGTCCATGCCTTTATGACCACATGGACTCATTTTCTGATGGCTACTTCATCAGTAGTAGATGGACCATGTCACAAAGCTCAGATCATCTCTAACTGGTTTCTAGATCATGATTATGAGTTCACTGGACTTCAACCACCTCCAGTCAGCAGATCTCAGTCCATTCCAGAACCTTTATGATGTGGTGGAATGGGAGATCCTCATGGATGGAACTGTGTGGTGAGGACCAGAACCTCTGAGGATTGTTTCCAACATCTTGTTGAATCCATCAGAAAAATGCAGGTGATTCTGATGGGAAAATAACCGCAGGGAGTTTAGGTTGGTTGCAGTTGCTCACCTAACTTTTGTTTTCATTTCAATATTTTTAGGCGCAATGAAGAAAAAACTTTTGCACAATAGAAAGATCAGTGAGATTTCTTATGTTTCTTCAAGGTTTGTCATTCTTTAGCTGTGAGGCACCAGCTTCAGCTACGTAATGCTGGAAGATGTGCAGAAAGGAAGGAGTAAATATTTATAGGTAGCAGATCATATTTATGTGCCAAGTTTTATGGTAGACCATTCCTTAGTCATTAAAACACCTGACTGACAATCATAAAGGTTATATTCTTAAAAAACACATCAAACTACCTGATAGATATAGAAATTAATACCATGCTCTGATCTGCAGGTGGTTCTGCAGCAAGTCTTGAAATCTGCAGGATTCGTCCCATAGGAGGAATGAAACAGCATCTGTTCACAGTTTAATGACATTTCGCCAAAGAAATTAGAAACATAAAGCAGTCAAATGAGGGTTGTAAGCGTGCCGACTTTTTCTGGCCCCTCATCTGACACAACCTAAAATAAATGCTAATGTTAGCACTAAAGCTTGGCAAGCACGAGGCAGGAACACACACTGGATTTTAGTGAGCAAGACCGGCTGCCTGGTGGCCTGCAGAGGTGTTTCAGGACAGACTCGACAAAAAGCTGTCGTGAATAATCTATCAGACGCATAAAAGAGAATAAAAACAGGTGGAAGTTCTTTACTGCAGCAGTTTTCTGTTGCACGTTTGTCGGGTTGTTTCTTTTGAGGTTAAAATGTTTGATTCATGATCTAAAAACAACCTCTGTGTACACGTTTCACTTCATTTCTGTCACTTTTTAAGTTTTAATTTAGCAGAGATGTGGAGAGGAGAAGGCAGGGTGTAACAAAGGGTACTGAACGAGCCTTGGTTCTGAGATGTTTCAGGTACAAAGCCTGATCTCAGAGAAATTAATTACTATTCAGCTTTTATTTCATCAGACTGCAGTGAAAAGATATGAAAGATTCAGGGAGAAGAAGAAGAAGAAGAAGAAGAAGACAATTTCCCCCAGGCTGATAAAGCATCAGTATCATACTGAGCTCAGTCTGGGACTTTCAAACCAAAGAGAAGCCTCAAAGACCAATTTGTTCATTTTTTAAAACTGTCATTTAACAGAGGTTCAATATCCGTAACCTTGACTTTTGAGATAAATTACAGATTCAGAGGCCCAGCTGATGGTGGCTGCAGCTCCCTCGCTAATTAAGAATAAAGTGAGCCTAACAGATTTAGCAACAAACAGCGGTGAGATTCACTGGTGCACTAAAGCGCACAATTTTGATAGCAAACACATTAATTTCTTCAAAGCCTCCTTGAAATGAATGCAGTCAGCTTTAAATACGTTGATACGTGCAACAGAACCTGCTGCTGCTTTGTGACGGCATTTTGGAGATCTCAGAGGAACAGTGATGATGATAAAATGTCATGAAGATCGGGGTGATCTTTGCTGCAGACCTGCACGTTCTCGTGACAGGTGGGATTTTTTATTTTCTCCAGCTTCTCTCACCTCAGTGTTCGCTTTTATTGACATGTTTACGTCTGTCAGAGATGTTTTTTCCACTTGTGATGGTTTATTTGACAGGAAAGCAGCAGTAGAGCTTTGGAGGTTTTCAGGTTTTGCCTAAAAGTGTGTAGTTATTTTTTTTTTATAAACTATAATTCAGTGTTTCTGATTCCAAATCCTAACTTGATTGCATTTATTAGTCAGACTAAGATGTGACTTCATCTTAAAACAACACTGACATGTTTTTTTTAGTGTTTTTCTTCACAGCTTGCATCCTTTTTTTCTCGTTTTGTAGTTAAAATGCTGTTGGTGGGATGCTGTTTATCAGGCACGTTTGAACAAATTGCTCCTTCTGTGTCGTCCTCGTTAGCGATGACATTGTCGCCCAGCAGAAGCCTAGAGAGGAGCTTCAAAATGCGTCTGCTGCTTGCACATTAGCGGAGTTTTGATTTGATTAGCGGGAGGGGGTGTCAACCCAGCTCTGACCGAGCCCGGTCCTGTTGTTTCGCACCACGTTTCCACCTTCTGCTGCCTCTAATGTAAATCTAGCTGCTGCGTGACGCTCACAGCCAGTTCAGATGTGACGCCTTATGTAGGTCAACTCTTCTTCGGCACTGACTGATTCCATTTTCTGGGGAAACTGCAGTTTTATTATTCATGCTTGCTAAAGGAAACAAGATTGTAGTGCATTAAAGCATGGCGCTGTCACTGTTACTCTTCTCCCCTTAAACTGGAACAAAACTGAACATTCCACACTGTTCTGAACAGTTTTATGCACATATCTAGTTAGGCTGCTTCTTTGAATTTGCCATTTTATTGGTTTTATAGCCCCTTTTTTCACCTTCAAGGTTCTTATTTAGCGCCGCCTGCCAGTCAAGAATAAATTTAGACGACTTCTTATTGCTCGATAAGAGAAGCGCCTTGTCGAACTTAATGCAGTTGGCTCTGCATTCGTAACAGGCTTCAAAATCCACCTCACCGCTGCATAATTTCTCCACAATGAAACAGCTGAACACATGAGGTGAGTGGCGTGAAATTGACCTCTGAAAAAGAAACAGTGTGTGTTTAAGAGTTTCTATTCAGAGAACCCAGGCTGAATTGATTCCACCTGGACACCCCCCCCGCCCCCCCCCCCCCCCCCCCCCCCCCCACACACACACACACACATCAACTTACAACTATTTCCTCATGGTGGTTGCACTTTAATGGCTGCTGGATAATCACCAGTTGAGATAAAATCACATCTTTTCTCAGCAGTAGCTTATCCATGTTTGTTGCTGGGAAGCTGCATGAGGTCCCTTATAGCTTTATGGTTCTGTCTGTTCTGTTGATCTAATTGGATACACTCTGTTGCTTTCAATGAATCATTGCCGAACCTCCTCGCCCCCCCCACCCCCCCACCCCCCCACCCCCCCAAGTACTTATTTTTATTGAATGCAGGGATCCCCTGAATCTTCAGGCATGACCCTTAAAATGTGTATTTGTCCCTTGGTTCTGGCCATTGATTCTCCTTTTTTTCTTCTACTACTGTGTGTCGGCATCTCTTGTATTCCAGTAGCAGATTATGAGTCTGCTTTTATGTCCTCTGCTTCCCTTGAGAAAAGGCCATGAGTTCAGACCATTCCCCTACTCCACTAATTGACTCCTAATTTGGCAAATGCACTTTAAGGCTGGATGAAACAGCCCACTCTTTTTGTGTTGGGGTCTAGAGATGCATTTCCACCCTTCTGTCCTTGACTCGTGACTGCTGTTGAAGCTCGACCCTGGCCTGTTGGAAAAAACTGAAAGAGGGGAAACATTTAGAGGTTTACCGTGGCAAGGCTCTCATTTGGCTGCGTTGCCAGCCAGCTCCAGGAAAGCAGCTTTTTGCCGTGACAATCGAAGGCAAACATTTTTTAATTACTCGCCCACTGCAGGGTTGAAAGGCACATGTTTTGCCTGTGGGTATTCAGATCGACTTGAGTGTATGATGTTTTAATGAGCCAGCTATGCGAATGGTTTGTTGCGATTGTGTGTGTGAAAGCCTAATCTGTTTGTTTTTCCTCCGTGTTTTTCAGTGGATGCGGTAAACTTGCAGGCAGATTTAAAGGGTTTTCCAGACAGACCAAGATGTCAAAGATCTCCAAAGCAGCAACGGCGGTGAAGAAACTGGATACAAGCGGTGTGATCCGGGCTATATTGAGGTCAGGACAAGCAGCCCCTGGACCGCCACTGGGCCCCGTCCTGGGACAGGTAAATTACCTGCAGTTTCACTTCTGGTTCTGTCTGTTTGCTCTGAGTTTTAACCTAATTGTGTGAGCCGTGCTTCATTTTATTAGTTGACCTTTCTCACACCACTTTCATTAGCAGAGACACATCCTGATCCTTTGTTATTTTCTCTTTGCCAATCACAGACTTTTTTATTTGCCCTCACTGTACATATCCTCCACCCTCTTCATCTCTCTGTTTATATTTCATATTCATCTCACGTCTCCACAGTGCAGGTGTGTGTGTGTGTGTGTGTGTGTGTGTGTGTGTGTGTGTGTGTGCCACACACAGTCTGCAGCGGTTTGCTCCGTTTCCAGGTTAAAGGCACTAACACAGCCATCAGCGGCAGCTGTCCTCGTGCATTAGTTATCCTCTTTACAAGCCCGTCAATGAAAAGGGACAGAACGTTTGAAGGTTTTGCCTTAAATTCTTCTCTTCTTCTTTCTGCTTCAATTGCTCCTGAGAGACATCTGCTGTTGTCTGTGCTTTTATTGCTCAGGATGCACCACTGGAACTCCAGCCAGAAGAATTTATATGTTGGCTAGGGCAATAATAACACAAGTCAGCAGTCTTGAAACACAGACTCATTTAAGATTTGCTGTAAATAAACAACTCTTCTGTAACTCATCAGATTGGCGTTGATGTTCAATAACCTCATCTTTTGTTTCTGATCACACAACTGTGTTTTTTTTTTCTTTCTCGTAAAAATTTTATTTTCCACCGTAAAGCAGCAATCTGCTCCTGCTTTAATGGCCATTATGCCATTAAAGGTTGATCATCCTTTTCGAGATTGAATGAGAGCAGCTTTGAGGCTCTGTCTGCTCATACAAACGATCCAGTTAGCCTCTTTAATGGACACTTCTCATCAGCCCTGAAAGCTGTTGCACACTTGGAAACCAGATCAATTCTCACAGTTGCTCCATCTCTGTGCCTTAATAGTGACACTCGGACAGGAGAATAGAGAAGTGAACAAAAGCTGATAGAAAATCTTCAGAGAAAAGCAAACATTGAGATAAGGAAGTAATTAATATGATCTACTCTGTTGTTAAGAGCTGAAAGAAAAGTTATCTGTGCAATTTACCCCAAAGATGCCTGGCACCCAAAATAAGGTTTCTTATTTTAGAATAAAATAGAGCTTTTGCTGTAAGAGGGCCATGTTCACAGAGAGCATTGAGTAACAGATGTCTGACCAGAACACACTTAGTTTCAACTCAATTAAATGACATAAAATCCCAAACAGCAGATATTAAATCTTTTTGGTTGTTTTCCAGATGTTGATGTAAACAAACTGGAGTCCACAGAGCTGGTCTTAAATGATCAGATTCAGACTAACAGAGCTGATGTGTTGGCAGAAGACATTAGTGGAAGAACCCAGTGCTAAATTCCTACTGATATCCTGATTCCCAATTTTCCCTCCTCCTTTTATCCTCAGTCAACTCCTGACCAATGTCTGGGAACTCTGCCACTAGTTTTTGAATATTTCTATAATGAGAAGAGATTATTCAGCTACCTGACCAATCTTAAGATGAGATGTTTGGGTTTTAAAGGTAGGATCCACTTTTAATTGACTCTTAAGACCGTTTCGCTCCAGAGGAACTAAGCTATGAACTAAACCATCTTGCATGGCTGGTAGGGTCTCTCTGTGAGACCATATTAGAGATGTAGAAAATGTTGATGCACATCAATATCATATTTATTTTATGTTATGATACTGAATAAATATTTAAAAGCACTGTATCGATTTGCTAACTGGCAGTTGTTGTTGGCACCTTTGCTCTGATGCAACAAGATCTCACGGTAACACTGAATGTGTCAAACATCTGGCCAGAGTTTTACAAATAAATTCAGTCTTAAAAATTACAAATATCATCTGATTTTTAGTTGATCAATATATTGTATCGTCACTCCTGTATTGACGTAAATAGTATGGCTAGATTCTTGCCAGTACACAGCCCTAGACTTTATACAGCATTTTAAGAGTGGGTTAGAGTTAGAGCATGGTTTTGAGCATGCACAAAGCTTGTGTGGTGAGGTTGAGGTGGTTTTCTCACCATGGGAGCAGTTTATTGGGTTGCTTGGGAGTTCCGTGGCAGCGTAACCTCGATGTGGGGCCTGTGTGCTCCACAATTACTTGGTTATTAATCATTTTAGGCTGGTTTCGCTGCTCTGGTTTAATTTCCTATGGTACACTCCCATTGTGCACCAATGGCATGTTAGCATGGCATGATCCTCTACCATATCTGCGCCATGATGAGAGGGCCACAGCAGAGTCCAGGGCATGCTGCTGTTGTGAGTAATGTTCATGGGAATGAGCTGCTGATGTAAAGAGCGTGGTCACAGTGCAGGAGACAGTCTCAAGAATGTGTAAAATATCTGCTGAGACCTATTTAAAAATGTAGCAGCATCACAATCCCCTTCACACTGAAAGAGCTTTTTTAAAGTAGTCACAATCCACCTACGTCTTAATGGATCATGTAGGTCCTGGAGAGAGTAGAGAGGTCTGCACCCTGTGTGAGGGATGAATATTAATGCTTTATATAATGTACTTCCATCAGGATACTCCTGAGCAGAAAAACTCTGTCTCAATGACTACGTTTACATGCAGCCAATATCCGGGTTATGATCGGGTTAAGGTCGGTATTCGGGTTTCTGAGTTGATCAGAATAACCCGTTTACCAGCATAAATAGAAAGAGTTACCTCTAACTTGCATAACCCGATGTAAATGCGGACGTTGGGGTAGCGTCAGGACGTACGGACTACGTCCAGACGCAATATGCGTCATTTCCGGTTCTTCTTGTTCCGGTATCCGTGAAAACAACAACATGTTTCCCAGTTCGGAAGAGATAGCGACCGCGTTTGTTTGCGCTTTAGTTTCCTCGTCACTCCAAAAGTGTGGTGCTGTGCCGCGACTCGCCATTTTGCTCCCAACTTGTTGTTTACTTCCGGTGTTCTGGCGCATACAAGACGTCTCGCTACTCAAAAGACCAAGATTCCTTGCGAACAGAGCATGCGCAGAACACACGCTTTGATGGGGATATCCCGGTATGCGTTTACACGACCAAACATTCGGGTTAGAAAAGGGTTACCCCAGGTGTAGTAACCGGGTTTTAAAAAACCCGGTTATGAGCATATCTGGGTTTTTGGTGGTGTTTACAAGGACCTGCGGAACCGGGTTATTGTGAATATTCGGGTTTTAAAAGGGTTACTGGCTGCATGTAAACGCACTGAATAATTCATCACAACCCAATTGTCACTCTTTAAATATTTACCTTTGATCATGAATTTGGATTCAGACCTCTGAATTTACTTGCTCTACAACAAGAAAGCAGTTCGTTCATGGAAACCTGGTTTATTTGGGACTTGATTTTAGTGCTTTACTGTTTTCCATAATTTCTGCAACATAAAAAGGATTCTCTTCTACGTTCTCATTTTCTGTCATGAAAAACATCCCATTTCTATACATTTTCTTCTACTTTGCTTGGAAAACAACCTCTCATTTATTAGTTCAGATGAATTGTTGTTAGGAGGATTACTGATGCATAATTTAGGGCTTTACATTTAGCAGCTCTGTTGAGAATAGCGTAATTTGGCTCCTATCATCCCTGCAGCTTACTTTAACACCGGGTCTGTTTTTGTTTCTAAAATTTGCATCAATTATAAAGACTATAAAGACAATGTCTGTCTAGTGGCTTTGCAGAAGAGTCTTTCTTTAATGGAGGAATTTTCACTTATTAATCCAGCGTTAGAAATGAGAGCTTTTGAGTGAAGAGGTTTTACTTATGCAGGTTTGTCTTAAAGCTGCTTGAATACATTTTACACATGGACCACATGATTAAGTGGCGTAAAAATATCCAAGTGTGCAGCTGTTTTCAGCTCTGCTGAGTGCATCGGCCTCTTTACGCTCATTATTTTGATTTTTAAGCTTTCATCTTAGTGGTTTGGTTCAGTCCCAGGGCTCTTGGCTGGGATGGTTGTATTGGAGTATTTAGTAGCTAAATGGATGGAATTAAATGCTGGACTCAGAATCAACAGACAAAAAGAAAATGAATGCTCTATATTCATAAGATTGCAGTCCAACTGTAAGAAAGGGACAGAGCAAAAATGGTCTGAATGGGAAAGTTCAAAGAAGAAATTATCTGCTGAGCAATAAGATCAAAGAGGATTTTAACTAACACTACTTTTAAGAAACATAACATCATTCAAAGCGGTAGTTTTGAGCAGCAGTGAGAATAGATATTTACACCTCCACAACCAGACTGACGATGAATCGTCATCATGCCGGAAACGGCCACTGGCTGATTCTAGCTGCCAGTCAAAGGCTCCCTCTATAGGTAGGCACGAACTTCAGCCGGCCAATCAGTCGGTAATGGGTGTGTTTGATCGGCTTCGCCCGAAGCAGTCTTCCAGAGAGCATGTCCATAAAAAACGGTCACCTGAGCACGGAAAACGCACACATTACCGAGATGTGAACACAAGTGTCCTTGTTAAACAGCTTGAAAACGCTGTTCAGTCTAGGTACTTCAGCAAATGAGCGCATGCTCTGTGATTGACACCTGTGCATAGGCGGATGTTGAACACTATTTTGCCTACTGAGCGGCAGTCAATTAAAATTGCATGGGGCTCTATGGGGTGGGGTGGGGGCTACATAATATCACATAACAGTCCGTCAGTCTTTCACTTTTATGGACTTCTAATCATACAATTCCTGGAAAGAGGAAAACCCTGAATTTCTGATTGAAGGAGCATGTTTGTCACCTTGGAAAGGTCTCCCGTACTGGAAAACCCTCCAATTAAAACAACTGGACAAACAAGAGTGGTCCACCATTATCACAAATGCTTGATTACGGTTGTTGCTGCTAAAGACCTTGGTGAAGAAAATCATCTTTTGAAAATTACCTTTTACCTCAGGTTATTTTGGTTTGATAAGTTTGCTGATGTGAAACATTTAGGTGTGACGTAAAATATATTACAAACGCTATCTGTA